CGGCTATATTTTCGTTGCAGTTGTCATCGTTGTTTCGCAGGCCCTGGCCAGTTCAAACCCACCAGCTTTGGTGTATGTGTCCGGCGCCCTACCCACTGAGCTACGAGCACCACCCCCAGCTGTTTTTAGAGACCAGGTCTGGCTCTGGCTCAGGCTGGTCTCAAACTGGTGAGCACAGGCAATCCACCCACCTCGGCCTCCCAGAGTGAGTGCTGGAATTGGTTACAGACATGAGCCACTGGGCCTGCATATTTCTTTACAGATGAGCTGTGTTCATGTATCCCTATGTATGTATAAATTTGCATGTATATGTGAGTATTATTGCATACATGAGCAAGAATGAAAATGCATATATGTATGTGATTTCTTCCCAGAACTATGCCAGGCAAATGTTAGCAACAAAAAAAGAAGTGCAGCCATATTAATAGCAGACAAACAGAAATCAAAATAAATGACACATTTCTTGACATTAAATGACACAGAGAAATAGCACATTTAATAGACGTGAACTTTTATGTTATCGATTTAAGATTTCAACATGGCTTTGAAATCTTAAATCAAATGATGAGAGAAAAATTCTGAGAAAAACACAAGAAAAACTGGACAAATGCACAATTGTTATGATTAATTGTCCTTATGGCAAGTGTTGCCAGGGTCCCACCTATGGTGGAGTTCTTTAGTCGCTAAACTGGGGCGACTTTCTCCCTTCTCTTCTCAGGTGCCTTGAATGCCAAAAACCCTCTAGTGGTCACCAAATACGGGATTCTCCAAGGAAAACAGATGCACGTGGGGAAGACATCCATCCAAGTATTCCTTGGAGTCCCCTTCTCGAAACCTCCTCTGGGTGCCCGCAGGTTTGCTCCCCCAGAACCCCTGGAGCCCTGGAGTGGAATCAGAGATGCCACCACCTACCCACCTGCGTAAGAGCCAGACTGTCAGCTGGAAGGACCCTGAGGAGGGTGGTGAACCCGTGTCTGCCTCTGGGTGGGGCTTTGAACAACACTGAGAACTTATAGTGTGACTACAGGCAGGTCTGGGGCCCATTTGGGACCTCAGTTTCCAAACCTGTATAATGGGCTGATTGGTCTAGGTAGTGTTTAAGGTATTGACAATGCTGTTCTTGGTTTCTCACAGGAGAGCTCCAGACAAGGGGGATGTGGTCATACTGTGCCCTAGGACTTGCTGGGGAGTTGAGTTCTCCTAAATATGTCTGAGGAGCAGGGCTCACTCACCACACACACACCCCCATACACACCCACACACAGTGAGCCCTGAGCTCTTCCCTCTTTCTGGTGAGTCCTATGGCACCACCAGCCCCTCCCTGCAGAGGGACTGCCACCTGGAGAAAGCACCAACTCGGTCTCAGTTGTAAAGTCTCAGGGTTTTGACACCACCCCAGCCAGGCTTAAGCCTTGAGTCACACCAGCACAACTGGGACAATGACTCCCTTTTGAAGCACCAGCCTTGGCAGTTTACCCAGAACAAGTGTATTTTCTATTTATTCAGATTTTTTTAGTAATCCACTGCCCAGAACATTCTGTGGCAATCATTAACAATATTCAGTATTAGTTGGTTAAAACTGGGTTTAGAAAAGTGTTACTTGAGAATTTGGGTGTCAGCTGATATAAAAACCACAACTACGGCTCGGCACCTGTGGCTCAAGCGGCTAAGGCGCCAGCCACATACACCTAAGGTGGCGGGTTCAAATCCCCAGCCCGGGCCCACCAAACAACAATGATGGCTGCAACCAAAAAATAGCCGGGCATTGTGGCGGGCGCCTGTGTTCCCAGCTACTTGGGAGGCGGAGGCAGGAGACTCGCTTGAGCCCAGGAGTTGGAGGTTGCTGTGAGCTGTGATGCCATGGCATTCTACCCAGGGGGATAGCTTGAGGCTCTGTCTCAAAAAAAAAACCAAACAAACAAAAAAAAAACCACAACTACCACCCTGGGTGCCTAGTGGTTAAGAATAGGTTGTCCACTTTTAGAACATAACTGACTGTTACTAGAATACCAGGGTGTTAATTGCTAGAACACAGGTTGTCACTGAGAGAACCCCAGGCATTCTGAACATTCTATGACTATTATTTAGAATCTCAAGGATCAAAAGACAGAACATGAGATGGCATTGTTACAACCATGGAAATCCGGAGTTTGGAAGTTAGGGTGTCACTGTCAATTGTTACAACATGGGCCATAAGTTGCCAGAACAATGGCTGTTCAGAACACAGAGTGTTAAGTGTAGGAATCTGTGGTTTGTTCAGACAACCTCTCTGGGGTGGTGGTTAAGGAGGGAGCAGCGAGAGAGGAGGCTGTTGCAGAGAAGGTAGTTTCCACCAGGATAGTTACACTGGAGGTGGTAGAACGTGATAAGACTATAAATTTGGCTGGGTGCAGTGGTTCATACCTGTAATCCTAGCACTCTGGGAGGCTGAGGCATGTGGATTGCTTGAGCTCAGGAGTTTGAGACCAGCATGAGCAAGCGTAAGACCCCATCTCTACCAAAAATAGAAAAACTAGCTGGGCATAGTGGCACTTGCCTATAGTCTCAGCTACTCAGGAGGCTGAGGCAAGAAGATTGCTTGAACCCAAGAGACTGAGGTTGCTGTGAGCTGTGATGATGCTAGGGTATTCTACCCTGGGTGACAGAGTGAGACTCTGTCTCAGAAACTCTAAATTTATTTTGAAGGTAGAATTGAATTTGAGCCACAGAGAAGAAGAGGAATCATGGATAATGACTAGTTTTTAGCCAGAGCAGAGAAGGGAATAGGGTATTATTTATTGAAATGGGAAGACTAGGGAAGAGCAGGTTTGGGCAAAAAAAGGGTTCGTTTGGGGTGGCACCTATGGCTCAAGGAGTAGAGTGCTAGCCCCATATACTGGAGGTGGTGGGTTCAAATACGACCCCCACCAAAAACTGCAAAAAAAAGAAGGGTTCATTTTGGGGTATGTTAAGTTTGATGTGCTGACAGACATCCATGTGGAGAGGTTGGATAGGTGGGGACTGGAAGCACATTGGTCAATGGTGTGTTGCTGGTGTGAAACCCGGGGCCTGGATGAGAACACCTTGGCAGAGAGAATGGTCAGAAGAGGGTGGAGGCCTGGGTACTCTCACAATGAGGCCTGGGAGAGAAGGAGGAGCCACTGATGAGGTGGCAGGAAAATCAGGAAAACAGGGCATTACAGGAGCCTTTGAAAGAAAGCTGTTGGAGAGGGGGGACATAGTCAATGTCAGGGGCTGCTAGGGCAAGTAAGATGATGACAGAAACTTAGCAAGGTAGAGGTCATTGGTCACCATGGCAGGAAGGGCTTTGGTGGTGGGATAGGAACAGAAGCCTCAGCTATTCATAACTCCAGTTCTGGCTTTCTTGGTAAAATGCTAGGTGGGTTTATTGGGCAGTGCCTTAATATCAATGTTAGCTGCTGCCAAGAAGTCAAGCAAGAAAGACAAAAACAATCTGCAAAGATTGAGATGAACTGCCTGCCGGTGACTTTGGAGAGGCTGGGTGGGGGTGGAGGGAAAGATAATCTGTTAAAAAGTTTCATACACATACCCCAAAAAGTTTCACCCCAGGGAAAGAGAGATAAGATAGTTGCTGGGAATGTGGATGGGAGACAGAAAATTTGAATCAAGGTGTGTTGAAGTGCTGTTGGAAGGACTGTAGAGAGTGAGCTGGTGATGCTCTGGAACAGGCTAGGACAAGAGGAGAAGGGAGCAGAGGAATGGGCAGACAAGTTCCCTGAACCCAATCAACTGTTATGAGAATAGTCACCCTAGAGGTGGGGCCAGTAGGGAGAAAAGGTGAGGTGGCAGAACAGCCCATGCTCCATAAATACCCCAAATGTCCACACAGTACGGTCTTGGGCCCAGGCCAGGACTCAGATGAGTCCACCTCCATCCCTGCCCTCAGGGACTGTGTGTTCTCTTGGGGAGAAAAACAACCGATTGAAATAATGCCAACCAGTATTAAAGTCAACAGTGGATAGAGCTTTGGGAGCATAGAAAGGGAAGTGAGCAGCACAGAAGGTACTCCTTGAGCTAGGCCTTAAACATGAGGAGTTTGCTGGGCAAACCAGAAGGCATTGGGCAGAGAAGACAGAGGTACAGGGGCCTGGAGGTGGGAGATAAGGGACCATATGTATTTGGAGCAAAGGGTGGCTGGGAAGATGACTGGATGAAAGGAGGGTCTGGGTCAGTGTGGGTGAGTCTGGGCTTTATCCTGAGAGCAGTTGGGAGCCAGGAAAGGCTTTTAAAAAAAGTATTGCTTGTGGTTTGGCGCCAGTAGCACAGTGGTTATGATACCAGCTGAGGCTCGTGGGTTCGAAACTGGCCTGGGCCAGCTAAACAACAATGACAACTGCAGCAACAAAAACAACAAAAATAGCCAGGCACTGTGGTGGGCACCTGTAGTCCTAGCTACTTCAGAGGCTGAGGCAAGAGAATTGCTTAAGCCCAAGAGTTTGAGGTTGCTGTGAGCTGTGACATGACAGCACTCTACTGAGGGCAACAAAGTGAGACTGTCTCAAAAATATATATAGTTTGTTCTTATTGATCCCTCATAACTGTACATATTAGGGGCTGTTTTAGGAAGGGGAGTGACATGGTCAGCCAGAGTGTGGAGGGCATACTGGGAAAGGAATGTGAAGAGGTTGGAGCACTATCCAGAACAGAGATGGTGATGGCCTTAATAGGGCAGCAGTCCTGGGGCGGGAGGAAAGGGGCCATATTCTAGAGCCCGAGGCAGAAGGGTGACTGAATGGTGGGGGTCAGGGGGAAGGGCATGAAAGACAGGGAGATCTGCCTTGACAGCAAGCACCGACAGTGTCTTAAACAGGAGCAGGGACTGTTTCCCAGGGCAGACCCCTAGGGTGAGGCGCAAGGCAGAGGGAAGGTTTTTAGGGAAGGTAACCTGCTTCCCCATCCTACACCCTAAGGCTAGTGTCGACCTCTTGGACACTGACACACGCACACTTGCCCGCACAGAGGCTGCCTAGACTTTACTGCAGAACCTGGGTTGAAACCATTCTCCCCATTGCTGCCGCCTTTGCAGCGGCCTCAACATCTCGCCTGCAGGTGTCTTCAGGAGTCCTGGGGGCAGATAACCTCCATGTACTTTAACACGCGGAAACATTATAAGTGGCTGCGCTTCAGTGAGGACTGTCTATATGTGAACGTGTATGCGCCAGCACGAGCGCAAGGGGACCCTCCGATGCCGGTGAGTAATCGATCTTCAACTACTCTCCCTCCCACTCTGCCACCCCACCGCCCCACTCAGGCCATAGCCTTCCTCGCCCAGGTGATGGTATGGTTCCCGGGAGGCGCCTTCCTCGTGGGCTCCGCTTCTACGTACGAGGGCTCCGAGTTCGCCGCCCGCGAGCAAGTGGTGCTGGTGTTCCTGCAGCACAGGCTCGGCATCCTGGGCTTCCTGAGGTGGGCGGGGCCTCCTGGGGACTCGGGCTCTGGGCGGAGGAAGCCGGGACTGGGTGGAAGGAAAGGGCGTGGCTTACGGGGAAGGGCCCGCTTGCCTAGTGTGGCAGGGGCGGGTCCTGATGCTCAGTGGAAGGGGCGGGCGCTCCCTCTGGTCTCAAAGGGACCGGCCTATCTCTGAGGAAGGGGGTGTGGTCGCAGGACTGGGTCTCCGAGGGGCGAGGTAGGCGGGTGGGAATCCTATGCACCTCCACTGTCGAAGCCTAGGACCCTGACCATGATCCCTGCCCACCCAGCACGGGCGACAGCCACGCCCGCGGGAACTGGGCGCTGCTGGACCAGGTAGCGGCTCTGCGCTGGGTGCAGGACAACATATTGGCCTTCGGTGGAGACCCCAGTTCTGTGACCCTTTTCGGCCAGTCATCCGGGGCCATGTGCGTCTCAGGACTGGTGAGTTCAATGCCCGGAGGGACCCTGCGCGGTGGAGGCCAGTATGTTCACACAAGTGTTTCCTTCACTGCACAGACAACTGTGCAGATATGCGTGTACATGAACATGTCTGTTACAGACATGCCCTCAAACCCTGATAAAACCACCTCTCACAGCCTAAGGTGTCTGCACTTATGGGAAAATCAAACCCCCAGAAGGGCAATGCTGAGACTTGGGGTAATCAGCACCTCTCACCTTCCCCCAGAGCTCTAGCCCATGAACAGAGTCTGCCATCTGCCCCTTGTGCAGGGCTGGGCCCACAGACCAGGTGAGGCTGGAGTCAGGGGGCCTGAGTTGGAGACAGGGCCTTGCCTCTAGTGGGTCACTACTGACCTGGAATGTTCCTGGAATGTGGGTGTAAGGTAAGGTACCCTGTGAGGGCCAAATGGCTGGGAAATGAACACATGACATGGGGCCTTGCTGGCCACAGTAATAATAATACTCAACGCCTGAGAAATTTCTGTGTGGCAGACCCTCTTCTATGTACCTTGTGGATATTCATTCATTTAATCCCTCAGCAGTCCAAAAAGAAAAGTAGTGTTTTCATTCCCATTCTCCAGATGAAGAAACAGGCATGGAAAAGTGAAGCAACTGTATTCAAACTGTATTGGAAAACATGGAAAGAGTTTAAGATCAGATTTATATTTAGATAAATGGCTTACTCCGCTGCATGGGACTGGGCGGGTAGGAAGCAGGAGTAGAGACTTACAAACCAACTGAGTAGGGGTAGGTATTATCTCAAGGGAGCTGGTTCTAAAGCAGAGGCAGAAAGAATGATAAACAGCATAGCTCAGAGTGATACAGGAGGCCAGATGCACAGGATTGAGGCAGGTGGGGTCTGGGGATGGATAGAGGAGATAGGGAAGGCCCCTAGTGTTGGGTGGATGGTGTGGGGTACAGGATGCCACCCAGATGGGATGGGATGGAGCAGATTTAGGGCACATAAAGTCTGATGTAACCAAGGGGCAGAATGGGAGGCACAGGATGTACTTCTTCCTCAAACTTGGGCAATTGAAAGAGCCTGAGAGCTGTCACACAGGTAACTGGGGCTAGGATTCTTCCCACTAGCCTCTCTTTTCTAGCCCCAAAGCAGAGAGACCTCTTCTCTATACCAGAAGATCCTCTCCCACAACCTCAAATCCCTTCTGGAAGCCCAGAGGGGTTTGGGCTTTATCGCAATGCCCACAGCACAGACCAGAGGCAGAAAGGCACTGGCTCTAGGTCTAGAATAGCAACCTAGGACTCCTGACTCCCTCCCAGCTGCTTGCCCTCCCTGGGTTCCCTCTGGCTACCCAATGATGGCCCAAATGGCCCTACATGGGCATATCATGGGTACCTCATTCTCTACCTTTATAGATAATGTCACCCCTTGCCAGAGGTCTCTTCCATAGGGCCATTTCCCAGAGTGGCACTGCAATACTCAAATTCTTCATCACACCTGACCCACTGAAAGTGGCCAAGGTGGGTGCCTCTCTTCCCCCAGCAAGGAGGGAGGGCTCAGCAGGAGGGGCAGGATGAAAGCACTCCCAAGCTCCACCCCCACCCCTTCTCTCTACAGAAGGTTGCCCACCTAGCTGGCTGTGATCATAATAACACACAGATTCTGGTAGAGTGCCTGAGGGCACTCTCAGGGGCCAAGGTTATGCATGTGTCCAAGAAGATGGTAAGTAGAGCATTCCAGCTGCCTGAATTGGCTGCCTGCTGGCCACCTTCCTCTCCTGGTACCCAGCCATACCCAGCTACTTCCCCAGAGACCCTGTCTCAGGAGCACCTTGGGGACACTTCTGTAACTCTAATCTCCTCCTCTCCTATAGAGATTCTTCCACCTGCACCAGAACTCCCAGGAAGACCCTCAAGATGTAAGCAGGCCACATTCTACAATTCAAGTTTTCTTTTTTCCCTTTTTTTCTTCCTTTCTTCCCTCCCTCCTTCTTCCTTCCTTCTTTCTTTCTTTCCTTTTTTTTTCTTTCTTTCTTTTCTTTTTCTTGACAGAGTCTTGCTCTGTTGCCCAGGCTGGAGTGCAGTGGGGCATGATCATAACTCATTGTAACCTGGAACTTTTGGGCTCAAGTAATCCTCCCACCTTAGCTTCAAACTCCTGGGCTCTGGAGGGGGACCTGCTGAGCTGGGCACCCAAGGTCACAGAAAACCCGGGAGGATATATGGGAGGACTAGCTGGAAATGCCCCCTTGCTTTGTAGATTACATGGTTCATGACCCCTGTGGTGGACGGTGTCGTGTTCCCAGATGACCCTGTGGTGCTCCTGACTCGGGGACAAGTTTCACCTGTACCCTACCTTCTGGGTGTCAACAACCTGGAGTTCAATTGGCTCTTGCCTTATGTGAGTAGGAGGGATGCTCACTATAGTGGAGGTAGCCAAGGCTTCCCCTTGGGCAGTGCTGGGCACCAGGTCAGATATCAATAGCCCTTCTGGGGATGCCCTTGTGTTTGGGAGCCTCCTGTAGTGAAAACTGACCAGGAATGATGGAAGGGAGGAGGAGAGGATTATGGCCTCTTGGAGGTTTGGGAGCCCCAAATTCTCAGCTCATAGTTTAGATGGTTTATGACATCCATTCCCAAGCCTCCAGCCAACTGCAAATCATGGGGCCTTCCCTTGGATCCAGGTAGATGCCCCAGCTCAGAATGGACCCCACCACCCCAACCCTAGCCCCAGCCCCACTTCAGCTCTGGCCCAGGTGGTAGTGATGGACAGGATCAGAGCAAAAGGGCAGGATGGAGTCATTAGCCCTCCCTGGGCTGTAAGCTCTGCATAGGTAAGACACTTAGGACCTGGTGTAGCTCTGGCCAGAGTCCCTCTAGATCAGTGGTTCTCAACATTCCTAATGCTGTGGTCCTTTAATACAGTTCCTGTGGGTTGCGACCCACAGGTTGAGAACCGCGCTGCTCTAGATGCTCAGGCCTGACCCATATCTGGGTCCTTGCAAACAGATCATGAAGTTCCCGCTAAACCAGCATAAACCGAAAAAAGCCATGGTCAAGATACTCTGGAGTATCATCACCCTGTTGGTAAGGGCTGAGGTGATAAGGGTACTCAGTTTTAACAGGGCTGACTCCTTTTTTACTAGTAGCTATTCTTTGCAAGGGGCTTCCACCAAGGTAGGGGTCTTTCTTAGAGGGCCTGGGGTTTGGCCTGGGATCAGATGGCTGTTGATGGGCAAGGTCCCCCAGGCATCCCTCAGAGTCATGGGAAGCAATTGTAGTAAAATCAGGTATAAGAATCAGCAGAGAGGGAGATCTTTCCTAGAAAGCTCCCCTTTCCCCCTCCTCCAGGTAAAATGTCCTAAGGGATTGAACCTGGGTGTAAGTCACTGATGGGCCCACCTCTAGCCCAGCTGGCACCCACAGTTTAGGGTGAGTATGGCCTTCCCACTCAGAATATCACCAAGGAGCAGGTACCACTTGTGATGGAGGAGTACCTGGGTGACATCAATGAGCATGACTGGAAGATGTTCCAAAACCACTTGATGGACATAGCTGAAGATGCCTCCTTTGTGTACACCACACTGCAGACTGCCCGCTACCACCGGGGTATGTGGGTCCCCAAAAGTGCCTACACTAGCCTGATCCACTCTCCAGCTATGTTACCTACCAGCTGGGCTTACCAACTGTTCACCTACTCTGTCTGCAATTCTGGCCTAGTGTAAGATTTCAAGACACCACAGAGGAGGCAGCAAGCTGTCAACTGTAAGAAGGGCCATTCCTGGCTCGGCGCCTATAGCTCAACCGGCTAAGGCGCCAGCCACGTACACCTAAGGTGGCGGGTTCGAATCCCCAGCCCAGACCCGCCAAACAACAATGACGGCTGCAACCAAAAAATAGCCGGGCGTTGTGGCGGGCGCCTGTGGTCCCAGCTACTTGGGAGGCGGAGGCAGGAGACTCGCTTGAGCCCAGGAGTTGGAGGTTGCTGTGAGCTGTAATGCCACGGCACTCTACCCAGGGGTACAGCTTGAGGCTCTGTCTCAAAAAAAAAAAAAAAAAAAAAAGAAGGGCCATTCCTTAGTGACAAGGGCAGGACTTAAGCCATCCCAGAGGAGTGGTCAGGGAAGGCTTCTTGGCTTAGAGGCACCTTGGAAGTCGTCCCCAGGCTAATTGGGGATTGGGGAACACGTGGGTGAGAGGTCAAAGGTAGGACTGGAAAGGGCAGACACTAAAGACCCTTCAATGCCAGGCCAAGTAAGGAAGGTTCAGAATAGGGAAAAGAAGGCTACCATTATCCTTGCCACAATCCCATGAATTAGGTTTTAGCATCCTCAGTCTGCAGATGAGGAATTACAGCTCAGAGAAGTTGAGTGATTTGCTGGAGGTCACAAAGCTAATGAGTAGTACAGACAATATTCAAATTTGCTCCCTTGATTCTGACGCCAAAGGGTTTTCTCTTGCTTGATGCAGGTAGGTGGGATGCATGGGGTGGGAGGGAAGCCCAGGCTGAAGCCTTTCCTGCAGCCTTCCTCAGTTTCCCTCTTCACAGATGCTGGCCTCCCTGTCTACCTGTATGAGTTTGAGCGCCACACTCCTAGTGGCATAATTGTTAAACCCCGCACTGACGGGGCAGACCATGGGGACGAGATTCACTTCATCTTCGGGAGCCCCTTCTCCAAAGGTGCTAAAGTCCCACCTGAAATCCCCACTGGGTGTCCAGTCTCCCACTTTTGTATGCAGACCCACCTTGCCATTGTCTGGCTAGCCATTGTCTGGGATGCTCTCTCAAACAAAAGTCTTCTGCCATAGAAGAAGTGGCAACGGAGCAGGGTGGGATGTCAGCACTCCCCACGCTGTCCCAAATATCATATCCCATTCTACCCCTAGGCCCTTCTGCAGGTGAAGAAAAGGCGCTTAGTCTCCAGATGATGAAATATTGGGCCAACTTTGCCCGAACAGGGTGAGTCTGACCCCATGACACATGTCTTTCTGCCCAGTGCTAGACCCAATGGCTGCCTACTTTAGTCCCTGAATGTCCCACAGGAACTGCCCAGTCAGCCTGACCAGAGTGTCCCTTCTCCCCCACCTTTCCCCAGCCAGTCACCAGATTCCTAAATTTCTCTAGAATGTATCCCTCACTGTCCATGATACACACTCTTCATCCACTCAAGCATTCAACAGCCATTCCCCGCTGTTATCTCTCATTCCAGCCCTGGAACTGGGTACTGGGATTCAAGGCTATTATAGACATGGGCACCATCCTCCAGTAGCTCCCCCAGATTGGCATACTAAGAGCTGTACTAGGGGAGCACAAGGCACTCTGAGAGCAAAAAGAGGTATCTGTCTCAGCCTGGTGGGCAGGGGAGGCTTCCTGGTGGAGGCAACATCTAAGCTGAGCTTTGACTAGCCTTCCATTTTCCTATGACTGCCTTCTCTCCTAGCCATTCTCCTTAGAGGGGTCTTTTTGAAATCACATCTAATCGTATCACTCACCTCCTTCAAACCTTTCATGGCTTCTCTCTGACTCCAGAATAAAAACCAGACCCTTAACCTGGTTTGAAAGGCCTTTCAGAATCTTTCCTGTGTCTTCCCCTTCCACATCCATCCCCTTCACACACACTACATTTTTAACTGTGCTTTTTCCAAAAGCCTTGATCTTTCATAACTCTAAACATGACCTATACTGTTCCCTCTGTGTAGAAGCCTCCCCTCGCCACACACACACTTTCCTACTTAAAGTTCTGACTAAATATCATCTCCGTGGCTAGGTGCAGTAGCTCATGCCTGTAATCCCAGCATTTTGGGAAACTGAGGCAAGAGGATAGCTTGAGGCCAGGTGTTCAAGGCCACCCTGGGCAACATAGCAAGACCTTGTCCCTACAACAAATTAAAATAGCCAGGTGTGGTGGTACGTGCTGTAGCCTAGCTGCTCTGTAGGCCAAGGCCAGAGGATTGCTTGAACCCAGGAGTTCAAATTCACAGTGAGCTATGATCACGCTACTACACTCCAGCCTTGGCAACACAGCAAGAATTTGTCTCGAAAATAAAATGGTAGGCTCGGCGCCTACAGCTCAGTGGCTAGGGCGCCAGCCACATACACTGGAGCTGGCAAGTTCAAACCCAGCCTGGGTCTGCCAAACAACAATGACAACTACAACCAAAAAATAGCTGGGCATTGTGGCGGGTGCCTGTAGTCCCAGCACTTGGGAGGCTGAGGCAAGAGAATAGCTTAAGCCCAAGAGTTTGAGGTTGTTGTGAGCTGTGATATTACAGCACTCTACTGAGGGTAACATAGTGAGACACTCTCTCTCTCAAAAAAAAAAAAAAAGAATAAAAATAAAATAAAATGATAAATGTCATTTATGTGTAAAGTCCTCTTAGATCCCAGCTCCCAAGGGGAAAGTAGATGAGGAAAGGATGCGATTAGGAGGCAAGATGAAGAGAAACATGAATAATCCTTTCTCCTTCCTCCTCCTGGGCAGGAATCCCAATGGTGGGAAGCTTCCCTACTGGCCACGCTATGACAAAGATGAAAAGTACCTGCAGCTGGATTTTACTACAAGAGTGGGTGTGAAGCTCAAGGAGAAGAAGATGGCTTTTTGGACAAGGCTGCATCAGCCTCAAAGACCTGAGGAACAGAGGCAATTCTGAGGGTGCCTATGTAGGGTTTATCCCATCCAGACCTTGGGGAGATGGGCCATAGACACATCCGGGACAAGAATCCTGCCCACCCCAATCTAGGACCTTCAGGTGCTCCCTACTGCCTCCCCACCAGAGCTGGAGCCTTAGCAGCCTGTTGGGAGCTCTGGCCCCCTCTGCAGCCTGACATCACATGATGCCCCAGTTCATTATCTACATTAGATTAGGCCAGACCCTTTCACCACCGCATGATGCCCAGCTCCCCAGCCTCAAGGCAACCCCTCCTCTCCCTCCTCCTATCCTTCAAGATCTACTTGCATTCCCTTCTTTTGGGAAATCCACTCAGACCACCACTGCCCATCACTGTGTTGTACCCAGAATTTCCCTGAGTCCCTGAGCCCACGAAGGGATGAACCGAGACACACTCCGATGTAAAAGCAAGAGGCAAGCTTTATTTGGCAAACTCGAATTCAGACCCTCTCTTGGCAAACATACCAAGGAAGGCCCCGAGCCTAGGGCGTTGGAAAGTTTTATAGGGTACAGAAAGCAAGAAGGGTGAAGAAGGGTGGGGTACATTTTTGATTGGCGGTTGGGGTATGGGAAAGTATGGATGACTGGTGGTCAGGGTTTGGGGAAGTACGGGAGGCTCTGGATTGGTATAGGTATGAGGGGTGGGGGATTTCCTAACTGAGGTGAGGGAGGGGGCTTGGGGTGGTATGGAACAAGAGGGCTGGGGTACACTTCTGATTGGCTGGCTGGGAGGTTTGATTTCGGGGAAAGGCCAGGGTTTTGGGGAAGCTGAAGCTTATTATCTAAGATGGCGGCGGGGGCTCAAAATGAGGAACAGAACTGAGGCAGTAAACAACAAAATGGCGCTGGTCTGGCCCTCTCAACTGCACCCAGCTTGTCATTTACCTTCCATCCTGCTCAATCTTGTGCCTGTTCATATTAGCCTGTGAGGCTTTGGGCAGGGTATTTGTGACATGGAGCAAAGCTTTGATAGCTTGAGATCTTCTCCCCTACCCACACTTGTCTCCCCCAGGGCCCCTTCAAAATCTGCACACAGGGATGGCCCTCAATAAAGATGTGTTGGCTTGACCTGAATTTCTCTGCCTAGAAAATGGATAGGGGAAATGAATGGTGTCTGATTTGAGTCCTTGGAGGAGGGGAGCGTTGCTGCCTGCTCCTTCCTCAGCTGCATCTGCTATGCTACTCTCAGGGGTGCTGCAGCAAAGTTGCCTGGGCTACAAAATACATGGCTTTTTTCTTCACAGTCTCAAGTGCATGCGTCAGGACATCAGAACAGTCACCCCTTGCTCATTGTCCATGGTTTAGTCCATGGGCAAA